AAAAAAAAAACCTATATAATTTTGCTAGATATTAATAATTTGGACTGTATAGTAGTTGGATGAATTTTTTTTTTTTGATAGATTTTGAAAAATATCTGATAGGACTTTGGGAAACCAGGGTTTTCTGATCACTCAGAGTAAGAAAACATTTCCTTAGAGTAAGCACAGACCTCAGTTACGAAGGCTTGTGTCATTTTACTTTCTAAATGGAAGCAATTTCAGCCTTTCTCCTTGTCTACACTGTGATCTGGGCTCCTTTCAGTTTACTTTCTTGTGTTCTCACTGAGCATTTCTGAGGGGCACAGACGAGTGCTAACTATTGGTAGATGCACAAATGAAGCAGCAGAAGGGCCGCCTTCCTAGACTCACAGGAGGGCCGGGGAGCAGGCATGTGACACCCCAGCGCAGACAAAGGGCCCAGGGATGAAACAGAACGCACTGGGAGAGCCCTGTAGGAGACAAGGTGTCTTCAGGTCAGTGGCCTCCGGGAATGCCTTGGGTGTGATGGGATTTGGACTGACTTTGAGGAAACACTTTTATCAGACGGTACTACTAGAATAAAGGCTCAGACACGGCTCTGAAAATGCTCCAAGTACTTCATTAGGTCTCTGTGGCTGACCTGGGAGTTTAAAGAGTCCAGTGTTTCACAAAACACATCTGTCTTTAGACTACATAAGCTAAGCCTTAAAAATCCGTAGCGTTCAGCTGTTGATTTCTTTCTGAGTTATTGCTTTTTAGGGTTGGGAAAGCTCAGAGCTTCAGTTTGTGTGAGGCGAATCTCAAAGACATGCAGCCCGGAGTTTGACCTCCTGACCACAAACAGTCCTGAGTCAACTGACTTCCCGCTTTTCTCTTCACAGCAGTGGACGAGACTCTGTGAAACCCAGAGAGGGTTGTGAAGGTTTAAACTTGGAAGAGGAAAGAGGAAAAAGAAGGCATGGAGTTAGGGTGTGATCTCACCGCAGCTTCCCAGTGTTTTTCTTTTTAGCTGAGAGATAGATGCGTGTGTTTATAGGACAGCTGTAGAGTGTGGGTAGAAGAGGTCATGGCCTAACCTCTCTGGCTGTAGTTGATTTTTCCCTTTTTTTTTTTTTTCCTCTTTCTGGGGTGTCAGTGACTTTCTTTGAACAGAAAGAATTGTGTTTCTTAAAAATTTTGTTTGGGTAAAAGTTTAGGCTGAAATAGAAATTGTACATGAGATGTTAAAACAGAAATTAGTACCTCAAGAATTGCTGTTTAGGGCCGGGGAGATGGTTCAGTGAAATAAGCACTTCCCTGGCAAGCACAAGGGCCTGAGTTCAATCCCCAGTTCCAACCAAAAAAAAAAAAAAAAAAAAAAAAAAAAAAAAACAGGACTTTTCCTATCTAATGAGAGCCATTTATAATAAACCTACTTCCAGCATCATATAAGA